GATCCCATAATGTACACATAGCACCTCTCAAATTGATTAATGTAAAAACTAACTATACATGTATAATAGGAAAAATTGTAGTCACGATACTAAATATTTCATTTAGTAGCAGACTTTATTCAAACCTTTCATTTATGTCATCGTAGGTACCAAACCTCAGCTCAAGTTCAAATTGACGGATTCCGTGAGTTTGACCTTGAAATCTGTCAGTTGACTCCAAAAATTAAAAATTTTAATAGTCCTTCCCATCTAAGCTAAGCGAATTTTAGACATAATATATTTCTCTTATTAAATAATAATAAAAAAAATCATAACCCACTCCCATCTCCTTCTTCCCCAACCCCCTCACTACCCAAAATCAAAACTACTCCAATCAGTTGTCAGGCAACATGCTATCGTCATCGTCGACACTAACGCCGGTGCCACCTAAATTTAAAGGTTAGGTGACATCTATCAAATCTTCGTCTCCAATCGACCTAATGGTCGCCATCTTCAACCGAAACGCTAGTAGCGGCTCGAAATTGGAAGTGCATTTTTTTGATGAAATTGGCATGTAGCATTGGCACCGTAAGGGCTTTAGATGATTCAGAATTCAACGGTGGTGGTGCCATGTGGTGGGTCACTCTCGAAGTGGACAAATTGTGAATCTTGGAATTTGCACCTATCGCAAGTTTGGTGCTCAAATTCGATGGAATTTCTTCAACAATTGATCAATGGGCTCCCTACCCATTGTCACTGGCCTTGAATTAGATTTTGGTTGTTTGAATTTAGTGGATTAAGGTTGTGGGACCCTTCAATTGAAATAGAGAAGCAACCGTGCATTATTTTGGCCAGTTCTCAGTTCCCAAGGAGCAATTGCTGCACTGTTTAGGGAAAAAAATGTTCCATGAAGTTGGTCGTCGTGTGTAGGGGAATAAACGGGTGGTGGTTGGCAACCATCAACTTGACCGAAGGTGGTGAATTTTGGAAGTAGGCCTTGTGCAACCTTTGATGAATTTTCATTGATTACTTCCTCAATTTGTAATGTTTGTGTGAATAGTTTGTTGGAGTGTGTTGAGGGGGCATGAGGGGCAATTTCTGGTGCCTTAGCCAACGGGTTAAGGGTGATTTGAAGGTTATGAGGGAGTTGGGGAAGAAGGAGATGGGGGTGGGTTGTAATTTTGTTTTTTCTTTTTCAAATTTTTGATTTAATATGAGAAATATATTATGTTCAAAATATCCTTAGTTTATATGGGATGAATTATTAAATTTTTAATTTCTGGGGTCAACGACAGTTTCTAAGATCAAACTAACGGAATCCATCAATTTGTATTTGAGTTGCGATTTTTTTTCAAGGTTTGGTACATACAATGGCACAAATGAAAGATTTGGATAAAGTTTACTACTAAATGAAAGATTTGGTGCCGTAATTGCAATTTTTCCTATATATTATATTTAGCCCATGTTTGCTTCAGCTGCAAAATAAATTAAAATTTAAATCAAAGTTAACTATTAATTTCAACAAAATATTTTATGAGATCCATAATTTTTGAACCATATATTCCATAAAATTTAATTTTTATCCAAATCAAATAAGGAATATGCGTCAATCAAGTAAATGTATTTCAACATTTTTAATCGGGTAACTATATTTTTATTGGATAGCTCCATTTTTATTTGATTTCAACTAAGACAACTTTCTCCAATTATAGGAATAGATGACAGGACAATCAATAAATAATAATCATTACATTTATTTTTAGTTGATAACCTGAAATTGTACAGCTTGAATAAATAAATAACTATCATCATTTATTACTGGTCATTTCTCTTAGTTCCTATGAAATAATAATAAAAATAATATTATTCGCAGTGAAAATTATCGATAGATTTTTTCGTGACATATATATATCAGTTTGTGATTTGATGCATATTTGGAATGCATTAATGATTAATCTAACAATAAATAGATCTTTCTTGGTGTCGCTCACTCGAACAAATACCAAAGGGTGGCTGGCGTCGATAAAACTGAGAATTTTCGCCACTACGGACACTTGGAGTGGACAAATCCCGTAATTGGTTCCTAGAAGAAAACGAAAAAAACAAGGACCAATGATCACAACCAATTAACTATTAT